TGGCGGGAACATAATGGGAGGAGGACCAGGTGGGCAGCCACCCGACCTTAGACCTCATTCACATCATCGATGTATCTATCCACAGTAGAGTCTCATCACTCCGATCTATGGTTACACAAAAGGAGCCCAATTTTGTATGAACTTTATATCGTGATTTTGTACGATTTCGACAATCATATCAACATTTTCTACACACAGCTAAGAGTGGTAAGGAACCAATTCCGTGGCTTAAACTGCAAATAGTCAAATGTATTTGTTAGTTGTAATGATATATGATCATATATAACAGAGTTGAAATATATGATTAGATTGTGATCGAGACGGTGTTAACAAAGTGTGGCGCAAGAAGTTCTACAATCATATCAACCAGGTAATCAATTCTAATTAACAATTATTATCTCACTACTTTTTACATAATCTTCTCGGTAAGAAACCTCATCTCCGAGGTTTAAACTGTAATAATTGATATTTGTGGTATAAGGCATACTAGGAGTTGGAGCTTGAGGACATGCCCCAAGTCGAGGAAGGGAGTAATGATACGATTATTGGTTTAAGGAGTTTTAAGAATTTTGGTGTTTTACTTTATGATTAAAAGTTTTGGTGTTTTCTTTTTTAATAGGCTTAAGGTATTAAGGTATATGATAACTTAGACAACAATTGTTAATGAACATTAAGATAACGTTACAAGAGAGAATCAGAAAATGAAATGGCTGTATTATTTTCAGGGTCTTGGTATAGTAGCTGTGTTGGTGTTCTTCATTGCGATGAAGCATATTAAGTATGGGATGCTCAAAAAGTACAAAACTAACTAAGCCCCAAATATGGCTTCATCTCTGGTGTCTTAAACAAACAAAAGATCTCTCCGTTTGCAATAATTGTTGTCTTGTCAGATCTTAAATGAAACGGTGTCGTTTATTGTTTGTGGCTTATGTATTTGAAATTGAGCCATTCCTACATATCACCTTTCTTCTTAGAGTTCAATTTGATTTCGTTGACTTAATGTGTTAATCTTATATCCAATTCGAATAATATTTTGACCAAAAAGAAACGAGCTTTACTTGGCCTCTCTGTCTCTCTTTCAAGTTGATCACTTCAGTCTTTAATAGTAGTTCTATGAAATTTAATTCATCTAGAAACAGAGCAGTTGCAACTATACAATACATGGTGATCGAGGATTAGAGATATAGGATTAGTTAATGATCTTCCTTCGATTAAAAAAAAACGTAGATACAGGATTAGTGAACCCAAGACAAGTAGATACACGTTCTATCTCAACTAAATGGAAAAAAGTGAAGTTCCAGTACCATTACTTATGTACTTTGATTGCTCTAATTAGTAGAACGTGTACTCAAGACAAGGCTTTTCCTCTTTGAGCAAAATAGCATTGAACAAAGAAAACAAAAAAGAACTTTAAATAGGATGCACAAGGGAATCTAAATTCTCGTAGAGATTACACGAAACTATCCCAACGCAAAGCAAAATATAAAGTACACAAAGAAAATGTGTCAATCCCTGCTTGTCTTCACCGTGTAAAGCTGCAAAAATGCCGAGAGGACAAAACAACCAAGTGAAGAAGAGCGTGAACAAAGCATGTTTAATCTCCATCCTAAACTTATTCGATAGCTGAACTAGCCCTATCCCTCCGGTAACTATCGACACAGTGAATAAGGACATGTACAACAACAACGAGTCTTTCTTCACCAACGAAGAATACCATTGTGGCAACATGAACACTGCGTGTATGGTAAATTCCGAGAACAAAATCTGAGGAACCCTTTCTACATTTCTAGTAAACTCTCTGTAGCAAGTGGAGGGATCCAAAGGTTTGGCGAAAAGAGATATCTGAATAGCGTCACTGCGTAGAATGTTGTGAAACTCACTGCACCGTCCCTAAGGAATGGAGAGGACGATGACGAGTCTTTATGCGGCCATATAAGATTGAGGGATATGTAGAGGCCAAAGAGCGACACTAGTGTGATCACATACCATATTCCTCTGCATAGAATCACATCTTTTTTACTCACCATCTTCTCAATTATGTTTCTCATTTCTTCCTTTGTAGGTTTTATATTCTCCTCGTATAGGGTTCCGGAGACTTTTCGTTTGAAAGTTTTTTAATTGATTAAGCGTTACTGCTAGATCTTCACAATCACAACTAACAAACAGAATATAAATATATATCAAAAGGACTTATCAGTTTGTTAACACTTAATACTAACAAATGTAACTAGACTTATCTAGTAGTACTAGTCATCCTCAGAGTCAAATCCTCTATCTCTATAAAAAATTAATTTGTTTTTTTAAGTACTTTTTGCCTGTTGCATTTCTATATTTAATTTATACTAGGTGATTGATCCGCACTGTGTGCGGGTATGAAATTTTTATGAAAATAAGTTAATTCTAATATTTAATAACCTAATTTTACAATTTATAAAAAAAAAAAAATAGATTGAACAATAACTTTTGTGGAAATATTAGAGTTTTTGTGTTCTTATTTACCATCTCTTTTTTTTCCATGATCTGG